ATTTTGAAATTTTCAATTATTTTTAACGTATGTGCAATATTAATATTTTAAAAAAACTAGCATTTCATTTTCAAACATTACACACGTATTTCATGTTGGATTTTTTAAATTTTAATTTAATTTAATTTTTCATCATTTACAATATCCAAAATTGCGTCGTAAACTTCATCTTATTGATATCGTTAGAGCCATATTCGAGTTCCAGCTTGTGGTTTTAAAGTTAACTTTTTAATTTATTTAAGAAGTATTGTTCAAAAATCAGTAAAAAATGCAAAGAAATTACACATTTCTTGAACAATATTGAAATAAAAACTTATTATATTTGATATGTATTATTTATGTATAGTTATTAATTATTAATGGACACCACTAGGTATAAAACAACCTTAAGATTTTCGTTTCAAAGTAAATTTTGTTCCCATTTTTCATATTTGTTTCACGCATGTCTTCAACATTCAAAGTTCAACAGATGCGAAACATTTGCAACAAAAGCGAAAGTTACAATTCAATTTCTCAGAATAAACAAGTAATTTTCTAAGCACTGACTCCCCATTTTTTATAATTTGTTTATATTTTTTAACAAGTTCCGATTCAACTAAATCAGCTCGCCATTTTTCGTCAATAATGCCCAACAATTAATTTAATCTTTCGCAGGTTTGCGCTTAAGGGATTGAACACTAGATAATTTCTTTTTTGATTCCACGGTAACTTCAAACAAAGAAAAAAATTGATAAGTAGATTAGGCAATAAACAGAGCTGTTATTGACTAATTTGCAGAATTATTAATTGGTTAATTGTTTTTACTGATATCACATTGCAAAATAAATATGCTTTTTCTGGCGTCTCCGTATCCCTAGTTAAGTTAAATTATTTATTAAAATTTATTAAGTATTCTAGATTTTAAATAAATAATTCTAGATTTTATAAAAATAATAAAAATATAAATATTATATTATAAATTTAATTTCCGAAACTCGTTTTGGCGCCCCCTAAGGCTTGCGCCCGCATTTTTTGCATGCATCGCATGCAAGGCAGGACCGGCCCTGTATATATATATATATATATATATATATATATATATATATATATATATATAATAATAATAAATAAATGGTAGTCTGTTCGAAGGTATGAGAGCCACCACAACAAATGATTTATTTGCCTTCATCCCATTACCACTATTCTCTATCCCCTATCTAGTCTGTTCGAAGGTATGAGAGCCACCACAACAAATGATTTATTTGCCTTCATCCCATTACCACTATTCTCTATCCCCTATCTATTAAAAATTTTATTGTTTCTCGAAACCTAAATAATTTCCAACACATATTTTGAGTTCAATAGTAAATTCTATTTCCAAACATTTGGTACACCAATGGGATATCTCCAGCCTCCCCATCTTTAGCTGAAATAGCCCTTCAACACATAGAATCCATAATTTTAAATTCCTACAATAAACAAATTTTTTACTACCGATATGTTGATGACATCATAACATGTATCCCAAACAACTCTTGTAATTTCTTTTAATGCCTACAACCAACACCTACAATTTACTTCTGAATTAGAAAATAATAAATCTATCAGTTTCTTAGATGTCCAACTCATTCGCGAAAATAATAATATAATAAATGATTGGTATCACAAACCAACATACTCAGGCCGTTATCTTAATTACCATTCTTACCACCCTCTCTTTATCAAAATAGGCACAATCATAAACTTAATAGACCACGCATTATTATTATCACACAGTAAATTTTTAAGAAAGAATCTCTTTCTCATTTCACAAATTCTAACCAAAAACTCCCTCCCACAACACCTCATCCAATCCATAACAAAAAATAGAATTCTATATCTCCAAAACCGTCACAATAATTTAATTGAAAATCCAAACCATGAAAACTACGTCGGAACTATAAGTTTACCTTTCATTAACGAATTACATTACCCGTGGTGTATTTTTGTATAATTAATTTCCTGTAAGTATATATATATATATATATATATATATATATATATATATATATTCTATAACTTTATATTATTTTCCTCCTAGATCGTATAAAATCTTTTAGTTTTTTCACTGAATGACGATCTCGATGAAGACCGAAACGTATGGATGAATAAAGTATTTCAAAACTACTTTAGTTTTTTTTACTTGGTGTTACTGCCCGATTCTAAATAACTCATCAAAATATATATCAACACCAAACTCACATATTTCAATATATATATATATATATATATATATATATATATATATATATATATATATATATATATATATATGCTTGAATTTGCAATGTGTATCGATATGTAAATTTTTAGATGCCCCAAAAGATTTGTTACGAAAGTTGCTTGTGGTGGATCCAAGCAAAAGAATTAGTATAGAAAATGCTCTGAAGCATCCATTTTTTCAATCAACGGTATATTCATATATTACATAAGAGATTGCCATTGCTTTCTACTAAAATGAAATTTTTATTATAGGTTTTTGAACAAAACGTTAGTACTTTGAAACGTAGTCTTTCAAGTGTTACCAAACAATCTATTCACTCATCCCCAAATGCACGAACTGTAAGTAAATATAATAAGAGGAAGTCAGTATATTCTAATATATTTTATATAATGTATGTATTGTAGAGCAATAGTTTATTAAAATTATTGTTTGAAATTACAGAAAATAGATCAGTTTTGCCCTCGAAAAATGTTTCAAAAGATAATTTTATGTGTGAGAGCAGTCATAAGATTGAATAAAATGAAGTTGGTGTCGGAACATATTCCCATCAGAGATGCTTTATTAGATCCTTACAGACTTAGAATATTAAGAAAGGTAAACATATGAAACATGCTTTATTCCAAATTCACCATTGCACAGTCGATTTTCAATACCTATATGAATTTTCATTTAATTCACAGGTAATTGATGGTTGTGCTTTTCGTGTGTATGGTCATTGGGTAAAGAAGGGGGAAGAACAGAATCGAGCTGCATTGTTTGAAAATTCGGAAAAAACTGAACTATACTATTTATATCTCATGAATTTAGGAGGAAGATAATCTTTAAAGAAATTTGATTTAATGTACTCAGTGTTAAATTTAGTTTAGGTCTTGTTTTATTCTTTTGTTTTCATTTGGAACAATTTGTATTATATTGTACTCATATGCAAAATAATCACTAACAAAGCCTGTGCATATGTATTTGATAATCTACTATATTAATAAGTCAGTTGTATGGTTTGCAAAATTCTTTTAATATGTGATTCTTCCCAAAATTTCGTAAAAAAAGATGTTTACTAATTGATTGAAGGGCAATAAGTTTCTTCGACGCGTAGCTAGCGTATATTACATATTGTTTAGGATGCGTGCGTTCAATGTTTATGGTACATGCAAACATTGAAACGCTTTCATTCAAATGCATATTAAACCAGCCGCCAAAAGCATTAAAACAGGTTAAATGGTGTGAATCGAGCATCAAGGAACAAAGAGTTACTGCCACCGCAGTAAATTTGAGAGGTCTTTATTGCAAACTTACTTTTCAAAAAATGACATGACATGAAACTCAATGGCGTACCAATGTTTCTGTCTTATGCAATATGCCATATATAAATAAACATAATGCATGCTTAAGACATTATGCGTTGATCTTACGTCTCTTATGTTGACAAGTAATTATAATAGATGTTCGGATTATTAGTAGTACTGTTACATTATAACTATTATAATTTAGTCAAAAAATGTTGAATATTTGATGTGAACAAATCAATGGAAATTTCTTCAACACTAGATACACCAGCCATTTGAATATACTCACTTCTACCAATACCAGTCAAATGACTGGTCTCTAAGAAAACATGTTTATTGTGACATTAAGTTGAACAAAACTAATTACAGCAGTATATAAATAAACTTATAGATATCATCAATTAATCTTATATATAAAAATGGAGGTCTCTTTCAAATGTCCGAATAAAACTCGAAAACGGCTGAATCGATTTGGCCAGTCTTAGTCTTGAAAAATTCGTGCCTATCTAGAGAAAGTCCAAAAGGTGAGAAATTATTTCAAATCCGCGTAGAAACTTTACATTTTAAATTTGAAAATTTTTGTAGAAGCGTAATTTAAATAAAACAAAGGACGGTGGCAATTTCGTGAAATGTCAAACGCTTTTGACGGATGATGTTCAATTACGTTTAATAGGATGTTTTACGGGAATATTACTTATTTATGATAAATTTGTAGTAAGAAGAGTTTTGTTTGTAGTTTTATTTATATACAAAAACGTTAGTAAACGGGCCGCAAGTGTTACTAGAGACTCAAAGTATAAACTTTTTTGATATGTTAATATGAAAACGCACTTTTTGGCATATTTTTCTCAAACACGGTGCTCTGAAAGATCTCATTTGCATAATTATATACTCATTGGTATTTATAAAACATTTTCTAGGTTATATTATTTTTTATTTATCTTATTTAAATTCAGAACCTAAATTTGGTATCGATCAAATGGACATTTTGTCGAATAACATTTTTCCAATTATAATTTCCAAGAATTTATCGCAGAATAGATATTAATATATGAAGGTCCGGGATTAAAAAGGTCCACCACCGATGTGCCAAAAATCTGTAAAGTTAAGCATTGTTTAACAACAATATTTGAAAGTAGAGGAAAAAGGATGTATAACCAGCTATAACCTTGATTAAAAGACTTTGCTATAGGGAGATAAACGGTAATCTTTGAAATAATATAAGTATTTTCTTCCGTTGTAAATCCGTTCCATTTTGTAAAATCCTTTAAAATTAAAATAAGACTTCAAACCTGTTTGCCATCTGACCGTTTCAAGTTACCCCGCCTATAGGGTAAAAAGGTCTAGATAACAAATTTTTGAAAGACATAAAAAAGCACATTTTTTCAGTGATAAAGTAGAAGGCAGTTTTACTGAACGTAGTCAGTTAATTGCTCGTTTGAAATTTGTTATTTGTTGTGATATAATTGTTATGGTTTTCACAATACACTTTATATTTGCTCAAAGTCAAATTGGATCTTTGTGCCTCGCCCTGCTCTACATATATACTTTTTATTAAATTTACTTAAAATTCATCGAATTTTACTTGAAACTTTTCAAAAAGCAGGACAAAGAAGGAATACTTAATTATTTTTTTTTATCTCTCCTCTGAAATTTGAAAATTTTGTATAAGTTCAGTAGTACAATTATACACAAAATCCAGAATCCAAAAGGAATCTGAAAAAATCTTGAAACGTAATCAATAAGTCGAAAGACCAAAAAAGACTTGGATTAGATTATACCATGTTTTCTATAGAAAGTGTATAAAACTTCCAGTTTGATTGTGTTGACAAAATATAGACAAACTAATGGGATTTTTTGTTTTTATAATACCTCATTATTTATAGCATTGAAACAACACATCCTTATACACTTAAAGTATTAATATTTTTGATTCCCTAGAAATTCTTTAGAATATACCTTACTTAGTAAAACAACGTTTGCCGGGTCAGCTAGTAAAATATATTAATGAATGTAATATAGTAGTTTCCGGCATCTCCTACCTGCCGCGTTGACATTCTACTTAACGAAGTATTTTTTAAATTTTAATTTCAATGCTAGAGGAATACAGTCAACCCTCCTTTATCGCGGCAAGTGCGTACCGTGTAGTATGGGAACCGTGCTAAAAAATTAGGATTTTACATAGAATCTAGACTAAATGGTAGTGTGTTCTATGGAAACTTGCTATAACTTTGTATGAAAATCTTTCTTTTGTCAAATTTGTCCAATTTTTTCCCCTTTTTTTTCAAAAATGTTTATGTCCAAATATTTTTTTTCTAACATTTTTTTAACACTTTCGACTCGGGAGTCGGACTGCTAGCCGGTACGCTGCGTTCGGAATATTATAGTGCAATACGTATCTCACAACTCGGAATTTTTTTTTGTATCGGATTTTTTCAAAATGTGTTAATATTGCATTTAAATATAGTCATTATAATAATAAAACAGAAAATTTTGAAAATTAAAAAAAATGCGCTCAAAACCATGCTATATTGTTTAAAAAATCATTTCTTTTCAGAGCTTTATTAAAATTAATGGGGATCACGAACTAATAAATTAATTTTGTTATATATTTATTTATAAAATTAATAAATTAATCAATAAATGAATGTAATAGTGAATTAATTTCAAAAGAATGAAAAAAAATTAATATATTAGTTTAGTTTGCGACGACACGATTTGCCGCCGGAGCGGCGGCATCCGAGCGGAACGGTAAAACATATCATGCCGCCGGAGCGGCGACATCCGAGCGCAACGGTAAAATGACTATGCCGCCGGAGCGGCGGCATCCGAGTCGAAAGGGTTAAATGAAAAATTTTTATCGATTCGTAATTTTTAATTTTAGTTTAAAAGTTCCTGAACTTCCATGATTTTTCTTAATTTTTTTTCTAAAATTTCAAAACATCTTTTTTGCTAAAACTTGTTTTTCAAAATATTTTTTTTTCCAATTTTTTCCCAAAAAATCTCGTTTTTGGAAAAAAATTTCAACATTTGTTTGTGGCTTATTCTGTTCAACTTTTTTTTTCTAATTTTTTTTCCAAATTCTTCTTCTTCAAATCAAAAATTTCTATCGGCTTGGTAAATTTCAATTTTATGTAATTTAAAAGCCCCTCGACTTTGTTTGTCCATGATTTTTTTTTCATATTTTTTCCCAAAATTTTTCTTTCACAAATTTTTTATCTAATTTTTTTTTTCAAAAATATATTTTCTATTTTTTCCCAACATTTTTGTCTCAGACTCATGGATAATAGTTCATGCATATTCTGTTAAAATTAACCCTTTGAGGACGAGCGCCGCATATATGCGTCTTAAGGTGCGTCCACACCTAACGAACGAACACGAACGAACATGTCGAACAAGAAAATACAAAGAAGAACGAACAGGAACACGAACGAACGCGAAAAATTCCAAACGAACTTGAACAAGCGCTTAAAAGCAGTGAGCGCTTGAATTTTCGTTGTTCGTAGATGTTCCGTGAAACGTCAGTTTTATTATTGATATGGATGTAAGCTTTAATCATACGGCATTTTTACTGGTTTTTGTGTGATTTTTGTTCATGTATATTTTGTAAATATACTGTAAATAAATTATTCAATTAATTTCGCTCAGTTTTTGTATTTAATATTTATATTTTGAGTCGTTTTCTTTCCTCAGCATTCATATTCGGAGCAAGCTGAACATTCCAGGCTTGAGCTAACTATACTCAATTTTCAAACTCTCATCCTCAACATATATGTTGAATGTTTATGTATGATAACAAGTTTAATATTTACTTGTAAAGACTGCAATCATACTCTTCTTTTATCTATGACTGCAATTTCTTCTTTACTGCAGCTTCTGACATCCCAAACGTTTTGCCTACACTTTCCCAAGCATCGTTTTTTTTCTAATAATTTTATAAAAAGGGTCTTTAGTCTCCCATATTATAGGAAACTTTTCTATTTCATTTATGAATGATAAAATTACGTCATTTGACCATTCCATAATTTATTCAAAATTTTCAAACTGTACACAATAATTAAAAGTAAATATTATTAAAATTTTCAAACATTAAAATTATTAACATTATTATTAAATTATTAAAAAATTATTATTAGATTATTAAAATTATTTAAACAAAAATGTTCGTTTGCGTTCGTTGAGACGTCCACACTGCACATACGAGTTCAAACATGAACGAACAATTCCCTTTGATGTACCGACAAGTTGCGGAACATTGCTCGCCATGTTTGTTTATGTTCGTTCGTGATCGTCGTGGCGTCCACACTATGCTGTTGCCGTTCGTTCTGGTACGTTCTTTTATGTTCGTTCGTGTTCGTTCGTTTAAAAGAACGTACCAGAACGAACGGCAACAGCATAGTGTGGACGCCACGACGATCACGAACGAACATAAACAAACATGGCGAGCAATGTTCCGCAACTTGTCGGTACATCAAAGGGAATTGTTCGTTCATGTTTGAACTCGTATGTGCAGTGTGGACGTCTCAACGAACGCAAACGAACATTTTTGTTTTAATAATTTTAATAATTCAATAATAATTTTTTAATAATTTAATAATAATGTTAATAATTTTAATGTTTGAAAATTTTAATAATATTTACTTTTAATTATTGTGTACAGTT